GCTGTTTCTTCCAGTTCTCTGAATTTCGCAAATCTTGAGAGGAACTGCTCAACAGTTGACTCGATGATGTTTAAAAACAGCTTTTGAAGGCTTTGACAGTCCGTTCTGTCATCTTTTGGGAGGCCTTTGATGTGCCTCTTGAGGTTTGGGAAATATCTAAATCTCTCACCATCCACATCCCTTTTTAAAACTTCCAGTTTCTTTTCAAAAGCCTTTATGTAACCAAACATAACTTCAGGTGTCTTGCCAGTTCCTTGTTATTTAACATTTAAGTCATTCAAATGTTCACAAAAATTTTAAATGGAAGATTATAAGAGAGGGTTTTGCGTGCCAGCAAAAGTTACTGGCGTGCCATGTTTGGCACCCATGCCAGGGGTCCCCCCCCCCCCCCGTCCTAGTTCTTGAGTCAATGCTCAATCAGTGAGACATACCGGGCAGCATTTATTTATTGATTTTAGAGACAGAAAGGGAGAGATTGAAACAAAGAGAGTGAGGCATTGATGTGCTGTTGTACCCATCTGTGCATTCATTGGTTGTCCCCTACATGTGCCCTGATGGGGGATCAAACCCACAACCTTGGGGCATCAGGGCCACACTCTGAAAAACTGAGCCACCTGGACCGGATTCAGACCTTGTTTATTAATTTCAGGAGCTCATAGTGGGATCTTGGTAAATTTCTCTATGAAGGGTCATGTCATCTAACATCAACATTTCTTATGATGCATTGTGGTTCATAGTGACAGGTGTAATGTCTTATCTTTTATTTATTTATTTTTTTTACTTATTTGAGGCTTGGTTTATGTTTGTTTTTGCTTTAGTGTAGCTAACAGCTTGCACATTTTTATATCTTTTTTTTAAATATACCTTTTAGGTATTCCTTTCTTTTGTCTTGTCTCTCTTTTATTTATGTTTGTTCTAATATTTATGGTTTCTTTCCTTTGAAACCTTTGGTTTACATTCCTGTTGTGTTTCTAGTTTCCTGAGGTGCCATGTTAGGTTCTTTGAGATCTTTTGTGACAATGTAGGCATTTATCTCTCTTAAAATTTCTCCTTAGAATTACATTTTCTTTTTTAAAATATATTTTATTGATTTTTTTACACAAAGGAAGGGAGGGAAAGGGATAGAGAGAAACATTGATGATAGAGAAACATTGATTGAGCTGCCTCCTGCGCACTCCCTACTGGGGATGTGCCCGCCACCACGGTACACGCCCTTGACCGGAATTGAACCTGGGATCCATCAGTCCTCAAGCCAATGCTCTATCCACTGAACCAAACCAGTTAGGGCTACATTTTCTGAATGTTATACATAAGCTTTGGTACATTGTCTTGTTATTTACTTTGCCTATAGGCTTTTTGAGATCTCTTGTTTTTGGCTACCCTGAAATTCTTATGTCTTTCTTTAGTATTCCTTTTACAGAGAGAAGAAGGGAAATGGGGGGAGAGAGATGAGGGAGAAACATCAATTGGCTGCCATCTGCACAGATGAAAACCGGGTATGGAACGCACATTGTGATTGATATGTGCCCTAACCGGGAATAGAACCCTCGACCCTTCAATACACAGGATGCTGCTCCAACCAACTGTAACACACTGGCCAGGGCGTTGTGTGGTTTTTGGAAACAAAAATTTCTGGTTTTCTTTGAGAACAGGCCACTGGGATCAATGAGAACAGAAGTATCATGGCTGATAGTGGTATCGCTGACCCTTTATTTTTATTTATTTATTTATTTATTTATTTTATTAAAAGTTACATTTATTCAGCGTCAGGATCAGACCATTACATTTAGCAATCAACAGCAAGGGTGCAAAAAAAAAAAAAATTTACATTAAAACCCTTGGTTGGAATGCTTGACACTTTCCATAGAACAGACACTAAAATAACCTGTTATACAATTAGTCACAAATGCAGTCCTCGAGTTTTTTTGCCCATTCACAGGAGTATTGTCTAACACATGTCTTCTTTGTAGCAGCTAGGCCCTGCCACCACTGTGCTTGGCTGAGTTCACAAATCTGTTGTAACCTGTAGCTTCCCTGTCACTTCTCTGGCTCTCTTCTCCTGCTAAGCTTTGTTTCCTGGCAGTAATTAAAACCTTCTGCCACTGCCATAGCTACTGCTGCTGCTGGAACCGCCATAGCCTCCTTGGTTTCGTGGTTTGGCAAAGTATTGACCTCCACCACCATAGGGGTCAGAGCTTCTGCCTCCAAAGTTTCCTCCTTTCATAGGCCCAACATTTGAAGATTGATGGTTGTAATGACCAAAATCATTGTAGCTTCCACCACCTCCAAAATTGCTTCCACTACCACCGCCAAAGCCGCCTCCGCCTCCTCCGTTGTTATAGCTGTCATAGCTGCCACTCCCCGCCATGCAAAACCACCTCAACCACGGAAGTTTCCTCCAGGACCAAAGTTGTCGTTTCCACCAAAACCACCTCCATGATCACCTCTGAAGTTTCCAGAACCACTTCGACCTCTTTGGCTGGACGAAGCACTAGCCATCTCTTGCTTAGATAGAGCTTTCCTTACTTCACAGTTGTGGCCATTTACAGTATGGTATTTCTGAATGACAATCTTGTCTACAGAGTCATGGTCGTCAAAGGTTACAAAAGCAAAGCCTCTCTTTTTGCCACTGCCTCGGTCAGTCATGATTTCAATCACTTCTATTTTCCCATACTGTTCAAAATAATCTCTTAGAGGATGTTCTTCAGTGTCTTATTTGATACCACCGACAAAAATCTTTTTCACAGTTAAGTGGGCACCAGGTCTTTGAGAATCTTCTCTCGAGACAGCGCTCTTTGGTTCCATCACTCTTCCGTCCACCTTGTGTGGCCCTGCGTTCATGGCTGCATCCGCCTCCTCCTCAGTGGCATAGGTGACAAACCCAAAGCCTCTGGAGCGATTGGTGTTTGGATCTCTCATCACCACACGGTCCGTGAGCATTCCCCATTGCTCAAAATGGCTCCTCGGACTCTCATCGGTTGTTTCAAAGCTCAAACCTCCGATAAAGAGCTTCCGTAGCTGCTCCGGCTCTTTGGGAGACTCAGACTTAGACATGATGACTGCAACAGGGGAAATTCCAACGACGCTTACTCCGCGGCGTTCACCGGCAGAAAGGAGTGATCTAAGGAACGTATCTCTCTTTTTAATTTTTATTTACAATATATTTTTATTAATTTCAGACAGCAAGAAAGAGGGAGAGAGATAGAAACATCAGTGATGAGAGAGAATCATCAATTGGCTGCCTTGTGCATGCCCCCCCAGCTGGAACCGAGCCTGCAAACCGGTCATGTGCCCTTGACATGAATCGAACCTGGGACCCTTCAGTTCACAAGCAGATGCTCTATCCACGGAGCCCAACTGGCTAGGGCTGACCCTCTTTTTAAAAAAAATACATGTATTTATTTCTGAGAGGAAAGGGGGCGAGAGAGAGAGAAACATTAATGATGACAACGTGTCACTGATCAGCTCCCTCCTGCATGCCCTCTACAGGGACTGAACCCACAAAAAACTGGGCATGTGCCCTTGAGTGGAATAGAACCTTGGACCTTTCAGTCCGCAGGCTGACACTCTATCCACTGAGCAAACCAGCTAAGGCTGACACTTGCTTCGTTCCTTCCTTTATTTATTTATTTCCTTAGTTAGTTAGTTATTAACCGTTTATTTTTCATATATTTATTTATTTTTTTTATAGAGAGGAAGGGAGAGGGATAGAGAGTTAGAAACATCGATGAGAGAGAAACATCAATCAGCTGCCTCCTGCACATCTCCCACTGGGGATGTGCCCGCAACCCAGGTACATGCCCTTGACCGGAATCGAATCTGGGACCTTGCAGTCTGCAGGCTGACGCTCTATGCACTGAGCCAAACCGGTTTCGGCTAACTGTTTTTTTTTTTTGAACTTAGATATCTTCAAATGTGTTTGCTCACCCAGTTTCCTGTCATCCTTTCTATGCAGTTGTCCTGACTTGGTATTCTGTATTACTGTTTGTCTTCATGGTACTCTTGTCCCCATTCCCTGTGGGATTTTTTTTCATGGATAGCTGTCTACTTACTCTCGGATAGGGAAAGATTCTCTGTCTGTGATTCTGCCATCTTGCTGTTGTCGTTTTCATAGGTCTTTTGCCTGTGATCTCATTTGTGGTTTGTTGTTCTACGACAGTGCTGACCATACCTCATTTTAGTTTTTCTTTTAAGATTTGCATCATTTATCTCATGCTGTGGCTCAACTTGGATTTAAGAGGCAAAATCTTTTGTGCATCACAGGAGAAACATGACTTTATCAATGACAGGGTAGACCCAGAGGCAGTCTTGCCTTGGTGAAGGACTCTGAGGGCGGTTTTCATGCCTGGGGTTTGTTACATTCATAACTAGGAAGCCATTTTGTTCAACAAAAGAAATGTTTTGTTACCATTGCCCACTCCTCACCCAATTTTACTTGTTCTTGCTTAAGGTTGAAACTTTGCCTATGACTCAGTTTTAATAGTGATCATTCTACTTGGATTCCCAGCCCATGGATAACCTGAACCTCTTTAAACTTTGCACTTCTACCTCTATCACACATCTCGGCTTTACTGCACTCCAGTGTTGTTGCATACCTGCAGAGCTTTAGAGTGCAAATGTATTATATTGATGCTGAACATCACATACTTTCCTATGATTGATATTTTATGGGTTTGAGCACATTGAATTTATTTTACACAGACTCATTTTGCCAGCATGAAAGGTCCTAAAGGAAGCCATTTGTGGAGTAATAACAAGCAGACACAGCCTCTCTTCTTTTTGTGCCAGCCTATGCTTCTGTTCTCACTTGGTGAGATTTTGATCATTCAGTGACCTTTTGGGCCATGTTATATATAACAGCCATTTCCTGAGTAGCTAACTTACTTATCTTGAAAATCATTGTATGGAATCATGTCCAGTTGTGACATAAACAATTGTGGTGAAGATATTATGTTTTTATCAGGTCAACATGCACTTTACCTACGTTTCCTTTTGAACAGGTTGCTGCTGTGGAGCAGAAATTATGGAGGCAACGACTGAACAGCAGGTTTCTGTAAGATTGTCACAGGCAAGGAATCCCAAGTTAGCCTTGTCATCCCGGAAGAGCCACCCCTGTGAGGGTTGTCGACTAGTCTTGGGAAACATTTTCCACGTGATGGAGCTGCAGGGAACACAACACAGACAGATACTATTGAGGTGTGGGTCATGTGATAAACGATTTTATTTCTGTGCAAAATTTCAGCAGCAGCATGATACAGAGAAGACTTACATTAGAGGTGTGGAGAGGATCTCACTTGCAAACAGCTGCAATTTCAATGTGTCCCAGAATCATTTCACCTGCGGGGAGGTTGGGCAGGGTGTTCTTACCGGGTCAGGACATCTCCACCTAAAGGCTATTCAGACCAGGGACAGTCCAACTGCAATTTCCATGTGTGGGATGACGTTTCAAAGGAGAAAAAAATATTACAGTAGAAAAGAATGTAAGAGAGACATTAGTTGCACCCACACGTTTATTCAGGAAAAAGGTGTCCATCTTGGAAGTGGGTGTTGTGTGTGCTCTGAATATGGAATTTATTTCACCAAATTTTCTAGCTTTCATTATCAACAGAGAGGTCACACTGGAGAAAAGCCTTATAAATGCAGTGAATGTGGGAAATCTTTTACACGGAGCAATGCCCTTCGTTATCATCAGAGAGTTCATACCGGAGAAAAGCCTTATAAATGCAGTGAATGTGAGAAATCTTTTGCATGGAGAAATGCCCTTCGTTATCATCAGAGAGTTCATACCGGAGAAAAGCCTTATAAATGCAGTGAATGTGGAAAATCTTTTGCATGGAGTGATGCCCTTCGTTATCATCAGAGAGTTCATACAGGAGAAAAGCCTTATAAATGCAGTGAATGTGGGAAATCTTTTGCACAGAGCCATACCCTTCATTATCATCAGAGAGTTCATACAGGAGAAAAGCCTTATAAATGCAGTGAATGTGGGAAAGCTTACACCACTAGGACTAATCTTTGTTGTCATCAGAGAGTGCACACTGGAGAGAGGCCTTATCAATGCAGTGAATGTAGAAAATCTTTTGCCACTAACACCCAGCTTCGTAGTCATCAGAGAGTTCACACTGGAGAAAAGCCTTATAAATGTAGTGAATGTGGAAAATCTTTTACATGTAGCAGTGGTCTCCTATATCATCAGAGAGGTCACTCTGGAGAAAAGCCTTATCAATGCAGTGAATGTGGAAAATCTTTTATCGCTAAGGCTGAAGTTCATATACATCAGAGAGTTCATACGGGAGAAAAGCCTTATAAATGCAGTGAATGTGGAAAATCTTTTACCAGTAGTAGTGACCTTTATTATCATCAGCGTACTCACACTGGAGAAAAGCCTTATAAATGCAGTGAATGTGGAAAATCTTTTGCACGGAGCACAGCACTTCGTCATCATCAGAGAGTTCATACAGGAGAAAAGCCTTATAAATGCAGTGAATGTGGGAAATCTTATAAAGGTAGAAGTGGTCTCCAATATCATCAGAGAGTTCACAATGGAGAAAGCCCTTATGAGTGCAATTAATATGAGGTATCTCAGCCAGATTTCTAAATTTGCTCTCCACTAGAGTACAAATGTGAGAAATTTCTTAGATGTGTAGGAAATGTAGTTTCTTAGTTTGAACTTAACAATAGTACAAGAAAATTTGTTCATCCTCATTTTTCTGAATTATATCCTATACATTTAATCACGTATCTTTTGTAAAGTTCCCATAAGTGTTTTTGCCGTTCTATGTGTGTGTTTTTATGTTGGAACACTGTAATTATGTTGCACGTTCTAACATACAGAGATGTCCTGCCAGATCTATGTCACTGCATATTTCTGTTGCTGAAGGTATTTCACCTGAACCACCTATAAGGTCTCTACAGATGGCAGCAATCACCATCCTCCTGTGCCAGGGAAGCTATGTCTGTTGTCTGATTTGTCAACGAAAATGAGGAATACCTGAGCCCTTGGTTCTTATTTGTTTCCCTGTCTTGTGTTGCCACATAGGACTCATTACTGTTGGCCCCAGTAAACATAATGTTGCAGAGGGCCTGCCATTTTCAGGGACACACTTTCTGTAGATGCTAATGATGAGTTTATTGCGTGCTTACGTCATCAATGGAAGAACTGCCAGTCTCATGTCTCTGGTTTGTAAAATAATGAAGGCTTTTTCTTAAGACTTCTTTAATCTGGGGTGTTCTATTTACTCTGTCTGTTAGTTTATAAGATCAGGGCTTTCCAAGCATGTTGAGGTGAAACACTTTTATGGGGTCTCAAACATTTTTCCCTTGGGGGAACATATGGTTCAGAAATTAGCTCATCAGTTTTTTGCAAATTTACTCTGCTGCCCATATTTTCCTAGGAAACACTGGGATACTCTACTTCTCATGTGAAGATGGGTGCGTTGAGACATAGAGATCAATCCAAAGAGGGCGTAGCTGAGACAACCTCAAGTGTGTCTGGGAGCATGAATTTTTTCTCCTGTTTGCAAGCAATGCCAGTCCGTGTGAGGTGAATCTCTTGCCCAGGTCCTGCAGGAGGCCCTGTGCCCTAATGCCTACAATATCATGGGTGATGGTCACTGGTTTGAGGACAATGGCATTCAGGGAAAACCCTTTCACTACAGAAACGTTGACCTGATTGTGATTGGATGAGACTGCACCCCTTTAGATGGAATAGTCCTCACCTAACTGTGCATCCAGGAATTATTTTGAGGAAAAGACCACAAGAGCTGTTTGTACACAGATCTGAGGGTATCCAGGGATGTGTATCTTCTGTGGAGCAGCCATTGTCATCTACACTAATAAAAGAGAAACATGGTAATTAGCGTAGAACCGCTACCCTTCCCATTGGCTAATCAGCATATCCTTATGCAAATTAACTGTCAGCCAAGATGGCGGCCAGCGGCCAGGCAGCTGGAAGCGAACATGAGGCTCGCCTGATCCAGGGACTGCAGACTCCAACGATCCCCGCCTGACTTGCCGGCCTCTGAGCTACAACTCTAAGAAACTTTGTAACAGATATAGAAGCTAAACAAAACCCCAGAAACCAGCTTTCAGCCAGCCGGGATCTCAGAGCTAGAGTTATACATTGTTTCGATTATAGCAGCTGAAGCCTCAGAGCTAGAGCCAGAGCTAAAGCTGGCCCAGAATAAAAAGAAAAAAAAAAGAAAGGAGTGGTTGGGAGCTTCAGTCAATTGCCAGCCTGAAAGCAGCCCTCAGCCCCTCACCCAGACTGGCCAGGCACCCCAGTGGAGACCCCACCCTGATCCAGGACACCCTTCAGGGCAAACCAGCCGGCCCCCAGGCCTCTATCCTATATAGTAAAAGGGTAATATGCCTCCCAGCACTGGGATCAGCAGAGCCGCGAGGCCTCCTGGCACCGGATGAGCATGACAGGGGGCAGTGCCCCAAACCCCCCGATCGCCTGCGGCTCTGTGTGTGACAGGGTGTGGCACCCCAACCCCACCCCACACGCAGGTCCTGCTCTGTGTGACAGGGTAGAGCCACAACCTCCCCATCGGCCCTTCCCTGAGTGTGACAGTGGTGGTGCCCCAACCCCCTGATCCGCCCTGCTGTGTGTGTGACAGGGGGCGGTGCCCTAACTCCCCTATCGGCCCTGCTCTGTGCGTGACAGGGGGCAGTGCCCCAACCCCCTGATGGGCCCTGCTCTGTGCGTGACAGGGGGTGGCGCAGCAACCTCCCCATCGACCCTGCCTTGAGTGTGATAGGGGGCGGTGCCCCAACCCCCCAATCAGCCCTACCCTGAGCGTGACTGAGGGTGGCATCAAAACCTCCCAATCCGCCCTGCTCTGTGCATGACCGGGTGGTGCCCCAACTCCACAATCGGCCCTGCTCTGAGCCCGAACAGGGGCTGCACCTAGGATTGGGCCTGCCCTCTGCCACCCGGGAGCAGGCCTAAGCCAGCAGGTCATTATCTCCCGAGGGGTCCCAGACTGCGAGTGGGCACAGGCCGGGCTGGGGGACTCCCCCCTCTCCCCCTCCCCCCAGTGTACAAATTTTTGTGCACCAGGCCTCTAGTTGATTATAATCAAGATGTTTTGTGGCTCCTGAAGTTTCTCAGAAGTTCTCATCAGAGCCATTGTTGCGCTGGCATCAAAAGAAAGATGGAGAAATTAAAGATTGAAATAATAATTTAATCAAAAATAGAGTGCAAAATAAAAGAAAAAGAAAGATGGAGACAATGGCTGTCTTTACTTCAGGAATGTGGCTTTTGTGAGATTGGGTGAAAGTTCTTCATTTTTATTACATTTTCTGTCACTGAGATGAGACTCACCCAGAGGTCATAAGTACGGGTATTGAATATAGAGTTGCCACACCTCTTCTTCCAGAATACTAGTGAACCATTTTTGATAACTATAATGAGTAAATTACATGTGTTAAGTATAGTGTTTCATAAATCTTGACATGTGCATGAAACTGAAACCATCATTATAGTCATAAAGCTGACCATATCTGTCTCTGTGTAATTGCATAATGACCTCTTTTAATCTGTCCCTGTTCTTCACAGCTTTCCTAGTTTCCATGGATTTACATTCCATCTTCATAGAGAACTTTATTTTTCTGCTTTAGTTTATGTTTCATACAAACTTGGAGTTTTATTAAAGTCACACTAGTAACTCATAGTTTTTCCTGATATTCTTATCACTGATATATCACCATCAGTTTGCCCACTTTAATAAATATTTGGTTATTTCTAATAAAGCTAGTACAAACATTTCTTTATAATTCCTTGTATGTATATAAGTGTTATTTACCTTTGTCAAAATTTCAGTGCACAGTCTGGGGTTTTTGAGTTGATGAATGTTTAAATTTACCGAGATTAGCAAATTGTGATCTAAATGGAGTATACCTCCAGGGCCAGTGTGGCTCAGTACTTGTCCATCATCTTGTGCAGCACAGGGTTGTGGATTTGATTGCCAGTGGGGATATGTGCCTGTGTTGTGGGCTAGAGCCACAGAAGTTGGTGTGCAGGAGTTCACTGGCCAATATGGCATTCTTCCATCAATGTTTCTCTCCCTCCCTTCTCTCTCTAAAAATTAATAAACTATTCTTTAAAAATAAAAAATAAATCTATCCCTACCCAGTTTGGAACAGTGGATTGAGCGTCAGTCTGCAAACTAAAGGGTCTCTGATTGGATTCTGGCCAAGGGCACATGTCTGGGTTTGGGGGATGAATCCTCAGTAGTGTGCATGCAGGAGTTGTGATCAGTGATTCTGCTTCTCCCTTCCTCTTCGAAATTAATAAGGAAAATTGTTTAAAAACAGAAAACATCAGTGTCTATGAGCATGTCTCACTAAGAATGGAATGACTCACCCAATAGACGAGCTCTATGGTATGCTAATAATAAAGATTGTTTTAAAAAAATAAACCTTAACTGATTTTGCTTTTTGGCATAAATAATCAGAAACAAAAGGATATAACAACAGAGGCATGATATAAAAATGACAAAAACATTATATGACAACAACAAAAACGTGATATAAAAACAACAGTGATGCAAACAATGACTGATAAAGTGAGTAAACTTATTCTAATATCTCCCTGTACACCGTAATAAGAGTGGAAACACTTTCAGAGTGCTTGACTAATTTCCTTTGTGATGAAGTACTTAGAACTTTAACTGTAAATGTATAATTTGGGTTACTGTAGTGTTCCAAAGAATAAAAAAACATGCAAAAAAAGTTTGTTTGTGTTATATATCTCTACTGTTACCAATATATGTAAAATGTCTTTTCAAGGAAAAATTACTCTAAGGTGGACTCGTACCTTTGGTGGAAAATAAAGCCTCTTTTCCTGCCACATGCATTTAATGATGAATATACAGAGTCTCCCCAGCTTTGTTGCCCTACTGTGGGTGGTGGTGGCATTGACACATTAAGAACTGGGTATCTGTGGGACTGCTTCCTACTCACCCATCATTTTGTTACCAAAGACTTAAAGCAGAAGGCAGAGCAGGGTGGGCGAAGCCCAGGGCCCGATGTTGGCAGGCTTGCGGTCTCGTGCTCTCGCGTGGCCGCATTGAGCACAGGGGTTGATATTTTCCCGTTTGGACACTTGAAGGAATTACGTGGACAGAATTGGCTTGCAAATTGTTATACTTAAACAGCTGTGTTTGCTTTATTGCAATCTCTACACTAATAAAAGAGAAAGATGCAAATGGACCATATCTTTGTGACACCCACCAGCCAATCAGGAGTGACTATGCAAATCAACCCCAAAAAGGTGGCAGGTTAATTTGCATACGTAGTCCCTCCCAGCTGGAGCAAAGACGGGGCCAGCAGCCAGGGGAAGGAAGGCCCATCCTTGCACGAATCTTCATGTATTGGGCCTCTAGTCTATTATAGCTACTAAAACTGCCTAAAAGGTAAATAATTTTATCGCTGACTTCTGTAGCTAACTTTAAAATTGGAATTTGATTTGTAGTGATTTTACTTAGATTTCTGTGCCCAGAATTTTCTTATAGTTACTAATTTTTTAAATTAAATCTTTATTGTTCAGATTGTTACGTTTGTTCCTCTTTTTTCCCCACATAACTCCCCTCCTCCCAGTTCCCTCCCCACCCTCCGCCCTCACTCCCCACCCACTGTCCTCATCCATAGGTGCACGATTTTTTTTTTAAATATATTTTATTGATTTTCCACAGAGATGAAGGGAGAGAGACAGAGAGCCAGAAACATCGATGAGAGAGAAACATCGATCAGCTGCCTCCAGCACATCTCCCACTGGGGATGTGCCCGCAAACCAAGCACATGCCCTTGACCGGAACCGAACCCGGGACCCTCCAGTCCGCAGGCCGACGCTCTATCAACTGAGCCAAACCGGTTTCGGCGTGGTGCACGATTTTTGTCCAGTCTCTTCACGCATCTCCCACACCCCTCTCCCCCCCCAAGAATAGTCAGTCCATTCCCTTTCTATGTCTCTGATTGTATTATAATCACAAGTTCATTCTGTACATCAGATTATTTATTCACTTGATTCTTAGATTCACTTGTTGATAGATGCATATTTGTTGTTCATAATTTATATCTTTACCTTTTTCTTCTTCCTTTTCTTAAAAGATACCTTTCAGCATTTCATATAATACTGGTTTGGTGGTGATGAACTCCTTTAGCTTTTCCTTATCTGTGAAGCTCTTTATCTGACCTTCACTTCTGAATG